CTTCTTCTTCTTCTTCTTCTTCTTCTTCTTCTTTTCCTCCTCCTCCTTTGCCTTCCGAAGTGATCCTCCACCCCACGAGTTAGTATATGGTACATCCGGATGTACCTAGAGATAGGTACATCCATGTAGTACTCATTCTGAAATAATGCAGTACTCATTCAGAAATAACGTCGTCTTCATTTTCACAAATTTATTCAATATTCATTTACGTATAACATAACATTCATTCTAAAACACATTAGTACTCATTCCCATATAACATAGTACTCAATGTTAAACAACTTAGGATTCATATAATACTGAATAAACGGGAAATCGCGAAGAAAAGATCCAGAGCAACTAGAATAGCGAAGAAAAAATCGGGAGCAACTGGAATCCGCGATCAGATCTTCACATATTCAAGCAGCTGTCGCTGATCAGACCTTCATCCTTCAATTGCCGATCGGACTTCCAAACAATCTCCATCTTCATCGTGAATCGCCGATTGGACCTTCGCGCAACCTAGTAATCGCCGATCGATCGCGCAGCCTGCTTCTCCTTCATGGTCGGCCGTTCTTGCAGTGGCGTTTGCCCTAATTAGTTGCTGGATGTACGGTTCTTCCCGTACATCCGGATGTACGGTATAATTTGTGCCACCCCACCCCCTCTTTTTTCTTCTTTTACTTTTTGTTTTGGATTCTTTTTTCTTCTTCTTCCATTATAATTATTATTATTTGTTATTAATTATTATAATTACTTAATAATCATGGCCCTTGATTTATCTGAAAAGTCAGATCCACACACCAGATTTAGCCGAGCATTGGGCGGGAAAACACACTTTTTTTCTTTTTTTTTTTCCTCTCCCAAATCTTTTGCTTTTGTATAGGAGTAGAGATTATTACTCCCTCCGTCCCTAAATAAAGTTCCTCTTTCGTTTTTTCTTTGTCCCTAAATAAACTTCTCTTTTCCCTTAAAAACCCCTTTTACCCCTTACTTTTTCATACCCTACCTATCACATCATACCTTTTTACTAATAATCTACCTATCACATCTTACTTTTACACGTCACATCAAGGGTATTTTTGGAAAGTCAATACAAAAATATCCCTCCCTTAAATCCTCAAAAAGTCAAAAATGGAACTTTATTTAGGGACGGAGGAAGTATTTGTTATTAATTATTATAATTACTTCATATTAATTATGATTTTCTTATTCTATTATTATTAATTTTTTATTAATTATTATTACTATTATTATTTAAAATTAATTATTACTTTTACTACACTTTTCTACAAAAATCTGTAATTGTTATTTAGAAAAATAGCACTTATTATATAAAACACTTATTATAAGTGCTATTATTTATTTAATGCAATTAATAAGTAATTTTACTTCTGTAATATTTATAAAAATAACAGTACTTATTATTATTACTACTTCATATTAATTACTTTTCAGTCAAAATTGATAAATTTTAACCCTAAACTAAATAAAAATGATATTAGATAGATATTGATACAAAAATAGTTTTATTAAATTTATTATATAAAATATTTTCAAAATACTATTTTATCGAATTAATATACAATATATATTTTATTTAATTGTAGGTCAAAGATTAAAAACGGTTAACTAAAAAAAGTCAAAACGTGATAGATACTCTGGGACGGAGATAGTATTATTTATTTCCTATTATTTTCTTAATTATTATTAAAAATTAATTAGTAGTTTTATTACTTTATTTTTCAGAAACCACAATCGTTATTATTTAGAAAAATAGCTTTTATTATTTAAAATAACACTTATTATTATATTATTGTTAAACAAATTATTAGTAGTTTTACTACTCTATTTTTTGCCATCCGATGTTGTCTTTCGCATTAGTCACGCATTAGTCATCAATAGTCTCCATGGGTAGTGGTGTCATGGTAAATCGAGAAAACGAGAGGACTTGAGAAAAGAATAAGATGAATAAGAGCCTCTGGATTTTTTTAAAGATAATACTACGTATGAAACAATAAAAAACAGTTCTAAATTTTATATTATTATGAATTACGACGTATAGTTTATAACCAAGTGAATAAATAATTTTAATTTTATAAACTATACATAAATATATTACTAAAAGTAATGTTCAATTAAAGCTTTAGAGTAGTAAAACTACTAAAAAAGTTAGATTAGTCAAACTACTAATTAAATAAAATAATAATAATAGATAATGATTATAATAATAACAAATAATAAAATAATAATTAATAATAATAATAATATAATGATAAAATAATAATAATAGAAGAAAAAGAAGAAGAAAAAAGGGGAGGGATGGGAGACTGATTGGATGGGAAGGCGTAGAAGAAGAAGAAGAAAGAAGAAAAAAAAAGAAGAAGAAAGGAGGAGGAGATCGAAAGAGGATGAAGAAATGAAGAAGGAGAACAAGATAACGGAGAGGGAAACATTGACGAACACATAGACGGATTGTCACCCAGGAGTCACTTTTTGAATATTTTAAGGTACCCCGAAGTATATTTTGAAAAATAATGGACTCTGCGAGTTCTTATCACAAAATTGGAAGTACCTAGCAGCAATTTGTTGTCGTACTACGTGCAAAGGTGACACGAATGGAGAATATAAAACACATTTATGTATGGAGTAATATACTAACAATAATAATAATAATAATAGAGTAAGTTCATTTGCTTACACCAATTTGTTATGGGT